ATGGCTGCAATATAACAAAGAGTGAAAAATTGAAGGGGGTCTGAATACTTTCCGTACCCACTGTGTATATATATATATTTTTTTTGCCTTTGGCAACATTTTTTACATGAACTGAAGACTAGTTGATACAGGTATCCTTATGTTAGCAAGAATAATTAGCCCACCCTTCAGGAGTAATGCCAGTTCACAAGCCTAGACAGCATTGGGGTATTGAAGTAATTAAAGGTAAAGGTTTTTATTGTGTATTTGAGGGGATTTTTAAACAAGTTGTTGTTGTTGTACAGTTTGTAACAGAAAGAGAATAAAAGCATGGTTTTCAGGCCCCTGTTTACTCTGAACCATTGATTGGGAACTGTATCTGAGTCTGAAATGTCATGACATTTTGAGTGGCAAGACTGTAACTGTGTTGAAAGAGAATGGAGAGAGAGGAGGGGGCTGAGTAGATTTTCCAGTGCAGGTTTTGATACATGAGAAATTAAATCAACAGCTGTGCTGAACACTAAAAGGAATGTGACACAGCATGCTGAAAATTTCCGATCATAGATGAGTCCTTTAGGACTTAATGAAGGTTGATGAAAAATGGATGACAGGAATCTTAGGAAAATATAAAAGATGAAATTGATTTGACTAATCTGTACTCTCTCTGGGTGGACAGAACACTCTAGAACTATTTACCTTATAATCTTAAACTAACCTGGAAAAGACTTTGGAAAGACTCTAACCTGGAAAAGTGCAAAATTACAGCCCGACAGAGTTCTTAAGAAACACTAAAATGATTGATAACCAGATTAATTATTAGAAAGCTAGAGAGAATAAACTAGAGAATTAAGGACAAGACTTTATCTCTTTATCTGATGAGAAACTATCATGCAAAAGTTTGGGATCAGTAAGATCCCAAATTAATACTTTTACTCAGCAAGGACACATTAGATTGATCAAAAGTTGACAGTAAAGAGATGATTAAAACATGATTTATGTTTTAAAAATGCTGTTCTTTTGAACTTTCTATTAAAAAAAATCCTTAAAAATATATCATGGTTTCCACAAAAATATTAAACCGCACAACTGTTTTCAACACTGATAATAGGAAATGTTTCCAGAGAACCAAATCAACATTTTAGAATGATTTCTGAAGGAACATGTGACACTGAAGACTGGAGTAATTACTGCTGAAAATTCAGCATCACAGAAATTTTGTATTTACAGGAATAAAGTGCATTTTAAGATATATTAACATAGAAAAAAATATTTGAAAGTAAAAATATTTCACAACATTACTGTTTTTACTGTATTTACTCTATTTATCAAATAAATGCAGCCTTATAAGAGACTTCTTTCAAAAACAGTCTTGGGGTCGGTAAAAAATCTTACCAACCCCAAACTTTTGAATAATAGAATGGTAGTGTATATAAAATATAACAATACCATTTATTTATGGAATGTTATCTGTCACTTTGTCTCTCAAATGCCCATTTATTATGATGAGTCAATCTCACAATGAATTGTTTGGGTAATATTTCACCCCAAGGTCAAAAGGGAAAAAAAGTATTTTCTTATTTATTTATTTATTTTCATATTTTCAAGCAGTACAAATTCAGTATGATAAATGCTATCATGATATATATTTACATTTGCAATGTACATATGTACTTCAAAATGTTAGGTAATGTTAGATTTTTTTCAGCACAGTACAATAAACCTACTGAGGCAAATCCACTCAAGCAATACAGAAAGCCATTTGTGCACAGTGGTCTGGTAAAAGTTTTAAAATGAAACTGATGTGGCCATCAGAAGTGAAGTGTGGCAGCTTTGCATCACCAGCTCCTCTGTCTGTGGTGCCTCTACTGTACAGTTATTGCAGACGGTGTCCCCCTGCCTACTGCAATGACATTTGCATTTGAACTGCATTAGACAATGAGAATAAATTACATTGTCAAGAGGATTAAGACAAATATCTTAATAATTCACCTAAATTAATATATACACACAAATATATAGTCATTGAGAGATTTCTGCAGTGAAGTTGAATGACTGATGTATGTTCTGCTCTGTGTTTATTACAGGCTGGAGAAAAACACTATCATCCCACATGTGCCAGATGTGCACGTTGTGACCAGATGTTTGGGGAGGGGGAGGAGATGTACCTGCAAGGTAATTTAAATATCATCAAATTTACATGATTTGATACAGATACTTAATTTTGGTGATGTGTTATTAAAACATCTTTCAATACAATGAAGATTGTTTCTATTGTTTCTTCATTTGTAAATTATTTTAATGTGACAATTAATGTGTCAACCCTTTGTGGATTATATTAATAAAAAAGAATAACAATATCCAATCAGAGAAAAAAAATGAATTGTTGGCTATGATAAGCAACAGTTAAAGGTGCAATAGGTGATTGTCTTCAGAAACATTTTTTGTTATGCTGGTTGAAAGTCTCTTCACATCCCGATAGCAATCATCAAGTTAAGTGGTCTAAATGTATTTATCTGTATTTATATATTCTGTGGAAGGCGTAGGACCAAGAAATGTTCGTCCAATCAAAACGCTCGGTCCAAGCATTTTAATTGGATTTCCTACCTGCCTGTCATCGTATGTATTGGCATACCTCTGCGCATCCGGTTCGTGCAGACAGAGCGAGAATGGCATACAAACATTAACAACCTGGTCTTCCTTCCTGGTATTGTAGTATGTTTAAAGTTTTCTCACTGGTGAATGACACATGATGTAGCCCAGTGGTTCCCAATTCCAGTCCTCGCGTCCCCTGCTCTGCATATTTTGCATGTCTCGCTTAGTTAACACACCCAATTCAGATAACCAACTCGTTAGAATTGAGCTACGTGCATGAACTGTGTTCCGATCGATATGATGTGTGAAGTGTGACATAATATACCTCTGTAAATAAAAATTATTTAAATTTACGTCTCGCACACTTTAATGCCCTTTGAATGGAACATATGCGCTCGCTTCGAACTGGAATCATGGTGGAATATCTGGTGATGTACACTTCCCAGGGCACTTACGGTCAAATAGAACAAACGTCGCACTTGATAAGAGATATACATGAAATGTGCAGAGCGGGGTGCGCGAGGACTGGAATTGGGAACCGCTGATGTAGCCTATTGTAGTAATGTTGTCTCTTGTATTCTGGTCTGTGAGCGTATATGCGTTCAGGGGGCGTGGCTTTGGATGGCGATTTGGAGGGAGGGTGGGACGTTCGCTTTCAGTGCTATCAGGCTAAAGTTAGCATTTTCCAAGATCTCCTACTGCACCTTTAAGGTTAAAGAGATTAATTTCATTTGATGATTTGTGTCAGAACGCTGAAGGAAACACTTTCCTCTTCAAAGTTCTCTAAATTTAGACCGTGAAACCAGACAGACAGGCACAGACAACGCTGAGGGCTACTGACAAGGATTTTTGAATCATTTGTATATGTATTAGTGTACGTGGAGTTTTATGCTTAAGAAAACACATCTGTACTCACAAAACCAAGAATGGATAGATTGTTTTGTATTTTAAACAGCAATAGACAGTTATATGGAGCTAAAAGCTCAGACCAGTCACTAAAACCTGAATACATTCCATAGTTGATGTGTCTTAAATTCTAAAGAACAAAATACATATTTGACATCCTAAGATAAATGTGGTTTTATTTATTCTTGTGTCCCACCTCAAACGTTGCAATACTTCAGTATCTCGTTTAACTCTGCACAGTGATTTACCACAGAAACTCACTGCACTGCAGTTTGTCAAAGGAGATTTATAGTCAGACGTTCTTTCAGAAAGCAGAATAAGTTAGAAGCCTTTTTTCAATCTGGCTAAAATAAAATGAAAGACTGCTGACTCATTCAAAGGGTGAATGATTGTGTTACTTAGTTTATGAATGCCAGTTGATATAGTGGCATATCTGAACATGCTAACTCCTCAGGAGATAAGTTATGCAAAATATCTTTATTGAATTAAGAACTGAAGTAGTTTAAAGATACAGTGGGCCCAAAAATATTTAAGCCTCACTTAAAAATCTACACTATTGTTAATTTTTTTTGGGAAAAAAAAGTTTTTGAAAGAAGTGTCAACAAGGTTGCATTTATTTGATAAAAATACAGCAATTATTCTATTTTATTTTATAATGGATAAAATTATTCCTGTGATGGCAAAGCTGAATTTTCAGCAGCCTGCAGTGTCAGATAATCTTTCAGAAATCATTCTAATATGCTGATTTGGTGCTCAGGTAACATTTCTTGTAATTATTAATGTTGAAAACAGTTGTGCTACTTAATATTTTTGTGAAAAATGTGATACATTTTTTTCTGGATTTTTTGATGAATAGAAAGTTCAGAATAACAGCATCTGAAATAGTTAATATATAAAAAATACTTAATATATAGCATCCTTACAAAATAAAAGTATTTACTTCTTTTAAAAATGAATCATACTGACTCTAAGCTTTTTAACAGTAGTGTATGTCTTTGTGATATATAACAAAATATAAATTTACCTGATTTTAAAGACAATATCAAAAACATTCTTTTTGAACAAAAGTTTGTCAAATGTGACATACAGTATTTATAATTAATGAGATGCACTATACCTGTGAATATTGTGCTGTGTGAAGTTGAACTTGAAGGCAGCTGACCTCATAAATCCACTAATAATGACACCAGTTAGTCAAAAGTAATTGCAACAATGGTTAAGAAAAATGAAATTCTAGCGGAATGACATTGAGCCATTTTGAGTGACTTAAGTGTCAAATACTTCTTAGGGCCACCGTATTTTTTTAACAAGGACTTGCGAGTTATTTGTGGCTTTCTCTTTCACAGGTTCTTCCATTTGGCATCCTCCTTGCAGACAGGCAGCACGTATGGAGGAGAAGAGTAAGGTAAAATTAAGCAAACTGTAAAACTGTAACTGAAGACACTTGCAATCCAATATGACCAGGAACTAAATGCTCTGAAACAGTCATTCTCTTTTTGTAAATTAGGCTAATGATATATTGCACCTTTATTAAAAAAATTCACTACTTTTTCCCACAGAAAATGGGTTGACTAAATTTTAAATACATTTTACTTAAGAAAAATGATTGAATAGTTGGTCATGGCAGCTGTTATTCAAGAAGTAATGGAGAAAAGGGTTGTAATTGGGCAAGTGTTCAGATGCATGTTGTTGTCGAGTGCACTTTTGGCTTTTAAAGCGCTAATTATGGTGCCTGGATCACGGCAGTGGAGTGATGCTGTACAGTCCCGGTAATATATTGTTGTTAACGGATTTACAAAATTTCTGAAGTGAATCGGGCACTAAAACAATGCAGACAGCGTGTGCAAATAAACACTGCTATCACTGCTAGATCCATGTAATTTTTATTGACTTGAATGTCATTAAAGACTGAAGTCTATGGTATTTTTTTTCTTGGCAGCTAGAATGAGTGACAGCCCCTAAAAATTGATGCTATTTAAGATGTTACAAAATGAAAATGAGCTCTATAGTTTAGGTAGCTGATATGCTCTGAAATATATTATGCAAAATCATCATCAACAGTAAATTCAGCTAGCTAAACAAAGGTGAGATGCAGTATGTGGAAGCGCTTCACTGTAACAACCCTTTCCCTGCAGAAACAGGTGCGGATTCAGCTCAGTGATCTCCATTCCAATGTACCTGAGCAGGTTTGTGACATGCGGCCCTCTCCTTCTGCATGGGCTTACCTCCCAACCTGCTTTTAGTTTTAATAGAATACTCACTAAAGTCCAAAATGGGCCTGTCAGGCCACCGTAGGCTACCGTCACTCCCACCCAGTAGAAATCAGGAACCAAAGAACAGGTTTTAACATCATCTGGGCAGGTACTCTAAAATAAGTGTGTTGCTATAGAGAAGACATTGTCAATGCATTACTTACTAATAAATAAAACGACAAATAAATCATATTATTGTAATAAGATTCTCAGTGGTTGCCTGTTTGTTGATTTTAAAAAAGGCATACCATTATTGTTTTTGTTTCCAGGTGACGAGAACCTCCTCTGAGAGCATCACCTCTGCTCCTGCCTCCAGTGCATCGGGCTCCCCTAGCAGAGTTATCTATGTAAGTGCATTTGAAAATGATTCCTTGCTTTATTACTTTTCATTTCTTCAAGATCACCACCAGTGGGCAGCAACACACAATGCTAAGAATAACTGCATGTGTAGAGAGCGTTATATATAAAGCCATAATGTTGCTCTTTCTTAAGGCAAAGCTGGGTGATGAACTTCTGGACTACAAGGACCTGGCTGCTCTTCCTAAAATCAAAGCGATCTACAACATTGACAGACCTGACATGCTCTCATACTCGCCCTATGTTAGCTACCCTGTGGAGGATAGGACCTTTGGAGAGGTACAAACACACACCCCCTCATACAGACTTACATGAGGGAATAACAAATACATGTCCTCTATTTGCTGATTCTCATTTTTGACAGTTTTTTGTCTTTATAGGTGACTTAAAAGCAAAAGGATAGCATAATTACTCATATGACAGCTACAACATTTGTTACAATAACACCATTTTTAAATGTAATCATCTTTACTCATCATCCAACATCATTGCAACATGGCTTGGCCAAAAATCATCATTTCACTAATTGATTGATGTATTACAGTAGTTTCAGTCATGTAACTTAGTTAGGAGGAAATCTCATTTTTTTCATGAACATATCTATCATTGCATTCAAGTCCATCTTACTCATTTGCTTTCTTTGTTTACAGTCACCACAGCAACTCACCCCTACTCCAACTGAGGTATAGTAGAGTTGACATGAAGAAACAGGACTTGTTATTGTGACGTTCACTAATCATGGCATATAAATTGTGTACTTCTATTTATAGAAGGTTCTTATTTTTATTTCTGATATTTATGCAGAATCTGTGCCAGATTAATAATGTGTTGCTCTGAAATACATAGGGAGTTAATGTAGGGTCACTTAGTTAATAATAACTATTGTTATAATTAATAAATAATTTGCCATTAATAAACATTAGAATACATTTACTGAACTTGATGAATCACAATTCTTAAGTCAAAATGTTTCACACATATTTTACACACAAATATGTGCATGATTAGTGAATGAGACCCTGTGTTTCCTCATATTTTGTGAACAGTTGTTTGTGAAGTAGAACAGTTATTGTGTGTTTTTCACCATTTGAAAACTCTGCGGTGTAATCACTCAATGATCAGTCTATTACTAGTTAGGACTGATTATTGTAAACTGGTCACATCTGTGTTTCTTTTCCAGCTTTATAGTCTCCTGCTGTGTGTCCCAGTGCCATAGTGATTACCGCTTAACATTGTTAATTTCATACTGAAATACTGTCTGTTTGTTTGTAGGGAGATGGGGAAAAGTCTCCCCGGCAGAGGAGGCCCTCCAGCCCCAGCTCCAACAGCTCTGTAGGGGGTTATGGCCGCTATACGCCTTCCCGCTCACCTCAGACCTACAGCAGACCAGGTATCCCTCCACATACATCATGACACTTACATGGACACAAAGCACTTCCTATAAGCAACTTATGGTTAAAACTATTTTTCTTCTTTCCTGTCACTTTTTTGGCATTTGTATTTTTTTTTGCTCTAGCTTCTGTACTACACAAGCTCTTTACACTCTGCAGTGTGGTAATGCAAGTATTGTTGGCCAGTTTATGATAAATTGCTTATGTTCCTCATTTTAGGTTAGATTTTAGATTTTTATATATAATATTATATTATAATGTTTATTATTTATATTAATTAAATAATATATATATGTATATATAAATATTATATATTATTATTTTATATATTATTTCACTAATTTAATTATTGCTAGAAAGAATCAACATAAAAAGGTAAATTAGTTAATTAAAAGCTGTTTCAGACCAAATTTGTGCACAATGTATATTTATCTATTATATACTATGTATATTTATACACTACCATTGAAAGGTTTGGGGTCAGAAAGTTTTTTTTTAGTACTTTTATTCATCAAGGATAATACATTTATTAAAAGTTAACACAATTGAAAATTTATCAAAAGTAAACAATAAAAAAACATCACTAAAGATTTCCGTTTCAAAGAAATGCTGTTCTTTTGAGCTTTCTATTCATCAAAGAATTTATCATCAAAAATATTAAGGAGCACCACCATGACTGAATGAAGCAGAAAAAAAAGAATTAACAAGCATTAAGCATCACAACTGTTTTCAACATTGTTGTATTAAAATCAGCTTTTGTACAGCATTTCAAATCACCCACTTAAAGGGGTCATGAACAGCCTTTTTATTTTATGTTGTACTGTTCTCTGAGGTCCACTTATAATGTTATAAAAAATTTTACATCAGAAAACATAATTTAGAAGTAATAGGCTATTTTCTGTCCTGTTTTGACCCCCCTCATCGGAACGCTCTGTTTGAATAGGCGTGGCGGATTGTAGACTCGGAAGTAACACCCACTGCTATGATTGGCTAACAGTTGTGTATGTTTGACAGCCTACATCCTTCATAGATAAATGCTGCTGTGATTTAGATTAAAAACGCATAAATACTCGGTACATATCAAACGATCTGTAATAACAGACAAAGCAATAGTGATCACGTTATAAAAACAGTTACTCCCGCTTGTATGGTGCGACATTACTGTCGGATCCAATATATTCAGCAAAGCATCATCTTTTAGTTTTAGTCTTTCTGAAAATCCTGTGTTGAATTGTGCCTTGTTTGTAAACGAACCCATGCTGAAATGAAGGGAACAAAGGACCAAGTTCTTACTGACGTGGTCTGTAACTTCATTAAAAATAAAGTTAAATTACTCTTTCCTAATGTTGGGATCAGAAGGAAGGCAATGCAAAGACTGTGGGTTTCCTCAACTTGGCAATGTACATTGTCTTGTTGTCTTTGGAGCCATCTTTATCGTTTGATTTCTGTGTAGACCTGCTTTTGCCTCTCTCGCTATTTACACTACATGTGCGAATCGGTGGGTGGCACTAAATAAGCAGTGCTGTAGAAGCAGGCGTTGATCTTCTTCTGCGGAGGCGGTGCTTAGCCACACTATTATGTCATAAAGTGACACATTCCACAACCTGTCGTTTTTCAATATAAGCTGTTTTTAGACTAACGAGAAAGTTTTGGGTTCTGAAACTTACAGGATGTTTTTATAGTACAATGACCTCTTATATATCAAAAGATCAAGGACATTTTTATTTCTCAGTTCATGACCCCTTTAAGAGGTTCAGTGCAGGTTGTGAAGACAGTAGGCAGTGAGACGATTCAAAATGTGGAACAGCATTCCATTCTAAAATGACATTTTAAACCACAATAAACTGATTTGATGCAGAATTTAATGAAGAAAGTAATTCAAGAATCATTTGGTTTAGTTGTTAAGTGTAGTTGCTGATCTCATATTACTGCCATTCTTCCCTGATCGGCTGGGTCTCCTGCTCAGAGCAATATCTGAGTGTCAAATACACCACTCATCCAGAAAATGCCAACTTGTTGGCTGTTCCAACTTCGGGGAGGAGTAGTGTCCATGGTAGTGCCAGAGGCTCCTCCCCACTACCTTTGTACAGCGGCAGTGGTAGAAATACACCACAGACAGGGAGCGGTGGCGTGGCCCTGCCCCTCAACCCCACTACTCTGGCTTTGCTCCAACAGCACAACTACATCCCTTACTTCAGAGGTACCACAGTTCTGCCTGCAGGCTTTTGCCCAGTACAAATCACCACATGCTGCATGTGTGTGAACTTATGGTCTTGGATACAAGATTCACTTTCCCTTGACAATATGAGTGAATGAGTTCACTACTAAAAATGCTGTTCTAAGATTTTAAACAAGACTAATGTCATAAAGTGCATGATGTTCCTGCTGTTGGAATTGGATTTCAACAAACATGAACCATGGATCAAGCTCCAAAACTCTTAGTGCTTCATAAGGGTTTGCATTCAAAATAAAGGACTAGTGAATTGCAGACATGAAATTACTACCCTATCCTTCATCCACCTTTCCTAAACAGGAATTGAGACAGGATTCAAACAGGAAGCAAAGTCTGAAAGTAGGCCTAGGACAGCCCTGCACCTCAATTTGCCTTCTCACGGTAAACCCTAAAAACCAGTCTCTCTTTCACTGTGTATCACCAGTCTATTACAGTGATGTGAGATTGTAGGTGTACCGCAAGGTTCAGTCCTTGGACCAATCTGTCTTTTATGCTTGCTGGTATTGTGTTTAAATAGAGTTTGTATGTCCAATCGTTTTGCATGGTAAACGTGGATATTCATTATATTTGACCTGAAACAGTAACCTAATGCACAAAGACAAATGCGAACATTGGTGGCGAGCATCAGTATGCATTTATTTGTTGTACTGTAGTTGATGTTGTGTTTCATCTGTTAAGGTGAAATTTTCCGCCATGCATCTGATATTCAAAGTGACTGTCTGTATGTTTGTGTTAATGTTGCCATTTACTTGGTGGCTGTCATTCCTATCTTTTTAGCATTTTCAAGTGTTTTATTTCACAGAACATGCATACTCAGACAGGCAATAATTTGCAGGTGGAGTTACAGTGGAGTCCAAACGTCTGAGACTATGTATAGAAATGTAAAATATGTAGAAATTTCAGAGTTTCAGAACACAGACCAATACCACAAACTTGCTTTTGATTAGTGATTTTGTAACAGTTTTACTGTCACATTAGTCCTAGTAGTTTTTCATTTCATTTTCATTGGTGTTACAGTTTGATTAGTGAACTAGAAATAATGCAGAATCTGAAGTATTTCTTCATTTTACATTATAACTTTGTTTTAAAAGTTTTCAAAATCCTACAACTTTTTTGTACATTTCCTGTTTAAATAATATAAAAAAATCCCAGATTTTTGATCTCAGGCTTTTGGACCCTGCCGTGCATATGTACATTCTATGTATATCTAGAATATATTGGAAAGTATTTATTCATAAAGATAACATGTCTGTGAAGAGGAGGAAAGTATGATGAAACAGATTTGGGTTTTGTGGTTTCTCTGCGAGAAGTAGAGAGAGCGAGAATAAAGTTCGCAGGAGAAGATTAAAGGGGTAAATTGATGAACTGTAATTTTGGGTCAGTTTGCCAGGCGCAGTGGCATAAACTTAGGCCTTGTGCAGTTCCAGGCCAGCCCTTTAATGTTGCATGAAAGTACACTGAGGTTGTGTTTGGAGTGCGCCGTTTATGATTCACTTAGCTCTCTAATTGACTTCTTATTGGTAAAGTAGCCACACAGGAGGAAATTCGCCTCTTCCTTACAAATGCAAAACCTCACTGACTGTAGCTGCCTTGATCTTGTTATATCTCCCTCTGAGTTTGGTTTCTACTTAAGATATATAAAATGAAGATGGAAATCATTCACAGAATATGTGTTAGTGATGAAATGCTGTATTACACCCAGCGGATATGAGAAGGGCGTTGCAATCCATAAAATCATATTTTAATGAGTAATGAGAGCATTGAGACCTTCATACTCCACAGTGTGCTCCAGTGTTGTGATTTGTGTATGTTTGGTGTATTTTATGACAATTTCCTGCTCCCCCAGCTCCAGATGTGTGGAAGATTTTCCCCTGATAAAGGGTGAATTTTTACTAACAGCACTTTGTGTGTTAAATGGGTGTGTGCATGTTTCTGAAGAACAGTTGCAAGTGTATGTGAAAGAGAGAAAGAAAAGACAAAGGAGACAGAGAAAGAGTTATTTTTTTATGTGTATTAATTTTTTGCTTTCAGCATATGCAAATAACTTTTTTTTAAATAAAACATTTTAGTGCGTAGTTGAATAAGATATTCTCTCTCTCTTTTACTCTCAGTTTGATAAAAGATTGTGATTATAAATACTTAATATTTTTCCCGAATGTTATTATAACATCACAATTCAGCCTGCCAATGGCAGTCATTTCTGTCTATGTCCAATTTGTATTGACTTGTCTGCTCAGTTCAAGCAGTACAATGAAATTTGAGTGTCTACTGATCAGATGCCATCAGTATAAACACAACATACTTTCACAAACTCCAATGCAAAGACAAATTTATACTTTTTAGAGCTGGCTGTATTGTGATGTTTCAGACTCAATGAAGACTCAGTGTAGCATATTTCTGGCAACCCTGTCAACTTTTCTTCTCTTTCCTTTTCATTTTGTGTCTGCCATGACCTTCACCCCCCGAGGTAGTGAAAGTGGTCGGAGTACCCCCAGTCTCTCCACCTACTCTCATAGCAAATCTCCTTCCTCAACATACGTGGCAGCCCCACGACATTTCCATATCCCAGGTAGGTGTTAAAAACTCTTGTACTTAAACTACCCATGGTAAAAAATGTTCTCACATCTCTTCTTCCCTTCTATCCTCACTTCTGTACAATGTCAAATACTCTCTCTATTTTATGAAAAAAATCCGGCATACTGAATAATTCATATTCATATTCTGCCTTCACATTGTTCTGTGATCTTTCTCTTAAGATCACAGCCATTGTTGTGCATCTTTGCATGATTTGCATTATTTTAGTACATTTATAAATTGTTATTGTAAGCAAAGCCCTATTTTTAGTACGTAAAAGAAACTTTTTACTGTCATTGCTCATCCCATGTTTAAAGGGGTCATATGATGCGATTTCTATTTTTCCTTTTCTTTAGTGTGTTATGTAGCTATTTGTGCATGTATAAGATCTGCAGAGTTACAAAGCTCAAAGTCTCCCACAAAAGGATTTATTCTATCTAAAAAAGAAGGCTGATCCAGACCGGGCTAAAACGCCTCATTCAAACACGCCCCTACATCTCTACATCACGATGTGGAAATATTTGCGTAATGCCGCCCAAATGTTCATGCAAAGAAAGAAGGCGTGGTTTCAGGAACCGCAGTAGTGTTGATTCAGCCATGTCAGGGAGACGCTGTGTGTCTCTGTGCAAAAGCAAGAGCACTTTATTTGGCCTTCCGGAAGTAGATGCAATGAGGAATCATTGGTAAAGATTTATTTATAACAGAACAGCACAACCCAGATGTGCGAATTTGTGCAACGCATTTTATGGACGACAGTTTTGTGGCTGTTACACCAAATACACAAAATAATGATCTTTAAAATAGCATCATATTACCCCTTTAAAATAAATCTAATGATCAGTTTCATGTGTTTTCAGCCCATTATTGTAATGACGTCTTGTTTCCAATGCTGGCAGAAACAGCTCTTAAAATGTATCACATGTGGTACATTAAATGACTGATTTTTTTCTAGAAGTAATGGTGAAGCAGAAGTGAGGTTGGGATGACCTAAACAAGCTACAGAGAGACACATGCTGTGTCAATTATTAAGACATTATGTCATTGCAATTACACCATTTATCTGCCTGTTTTCCTCTTGGCTTAGTTCATTTTAGGTGACATTTCTAATTTCTAAATTGAAAATGTGATGAAACTTTCATTATTTATAATGTTATTATTTATACATAATTCTGACTGCAGAAAATCCATATTTCAAAGCCGAAGATTTTGGCAAAGGCAAAATGCTTGATCATGCATGCTGATCATGAACATTATAAGGAGATGAACTACAATACCTGCAATCCTTTATAGCAACATATACTGCATTTTCTGCCCTTTCTTTTGCCCCTAGACCATCCTCTAATAACACATGCTTCTTTATTCATCTTCTTTCTTCCTCTCTTTGTCTTCCATTCTCAGAGACTAAAGTCAAAGATAATATCTATAGAAAGCCCCCTATCTACCAACAGCATGGTACAGTCCAGTTTCCGTACAACCATGTTTCTTTGCATGCTGTTACGCATGTCACCATGGTACCTGTTGCCATGGAACTGTAACCTTTGACCCTCTTTCTGTCTGCTGGTTTCCATTTTCAGCTCCTTGTAGGTTTTACAAATCCTAGAAAAAGGTTTGGATTTGACAAGGTACTTGTTATCAGGCAATCAGTACCTAATTGTTGTTTCTTGCCAAGGGTCATATTTCATACATATTTATTGGGTTTATTTTGAATAGCAGTTAGCCCTGAATTATTAGTGCTGCTCAATGCCTGTTAACTTAGAGATAATAATTGTTTTGATGTTTGTTATATGATGTTACACATACACCAAACGTTTGGGGTCAGTAAGATTAAAAAAAAAATTGAAAGAAGTATCTTATGCTCATCAAAGCTGCATTTATTTGATCAAAAATACAATGAAAGCAGCAATACTATGAAATATCGTTACAATTTAATACATTGTTGTATCATTATAAATATCTTCATGTCACTTTTGATCAATGTAATGCATCCTTACTAAATTAAAGTATTAATTTATTTAAAAAAAATCTCACTGTCCCCATATTTTTGAAGGGTTGTGTACATTTAATGTAAGTAATGCCTTTGATATGATGTCTTAATCAACAAGATCCTACATGTCTTTTTAAATGCATCCTGACATGGAAACAGCAGTCAGATATATTCTTTATTTTATTTTTGTGCCTCTGTCCATCCATACGTACTCGCTTGTCAGTTGCAGTATTCGTAGTTCCTCATCTGTCTGTGGTCTTGTAACTTAGATGTTAAACGAACATGGTGTCTGTGCAACTCATTGGTTTGGTGAAATGTCAAAGGCATTTGTGTTATCCATTGTGATTGACTTAAAGACATCTATAAAGCTCATTGTGATTGGGTGGTAGAGGTATCAATCACCTGACTGGTTTCTTTTGGCCTTTTTTTCCCCAGAACTTGTCCCTTGACGTTGTGTTTGGTTGTGTCACTTTTCACTTGCTTGTTGATTCTGTCCGTAAATTTGTTTTTTCTCTCATAGTGAATACTGCAGTTAGTTTGATCACTGTCTAAAATCAAGCTACACTGAAAAAAATAGATGACATGATTTATGAGTATATAACAGTATTTTCATTCTAATTTTTATTGTGTGTGTGTGTGTGGTACTTTGCATGATGTAACTTGTGCCAGTCACTCTCTCAAACAGTGAAAACTGTCCTTTAGGATATATTTAAACTGTCTTACTGTGCTGCAGCTTCCAGAACCTCCTGGCAAGATGGTGATGACGTAGACAGAAAGGTGATTTATATATTTATATAAACATCTCTGTGTGTATTTGTTTATTCTGGTATCAGTATCAGGTTGTTTTTTGTAATTTAATCCAACCTACCCTTGTGAAAAAGAAGTAAATTTTTTATTCATTATGGAAATAATATACTTTAAAATAATTTACTTAAGTGCAAACTGAATGTAATGTTTTTGAACACCTAATTGCATGTTAATTGCAATTAAATGAAAATGGATTAGTTTTTATTAATTCCAATATTTCATGTTAATTCCAATTAGCTGAGCTTAGTGCTTTTTTGACCACTTAAGTAAATCTTTATATATAATTTCATAATTCTATTTTGTTTGAAATGTGGTTAAAGTATACCACCAAATGTACTGACAACCTTTTATAGTAGACTAAAATATTCTTAAAGTCATTTCTGTTAAATTTTGTATGTCATGTATTTAAATATATTTGTAATTACACATTTGCCGTGATGGTTGCAACTGAGTACATTTAAAATATATCAACTTTAAATGTAATATCAAATAACACACTATAGTTAAAATTATAATCAAATACTTTACATGTGCTTTAGTATGTTAGTCAGCATCAAAATAAGTGTACTTCTTTAAAGTATGATAAAAAGATTATTACAACATGATGTAAAATGTACTTTCATTTGTAGTTTGACATTATTACAAAATACACTTTTTAAAAGTGCGTTAAGAACCATAGTCATGAACGTGTACTCTCTGTAAGTACACTAAGTGGCCTTTTATTTCATTAATAAATGATCTGCAAATACAGTTTTTTTTTTTATATTTAAAAATACACACTGCAAGTGCACATTCAATACATTTACGCACACTTCTTTTTGTTATTTTGGGGTTGTTTTAATAATGTAATCAAACCTATATATGTTTTCCATCCTATCTTTCCGTTGAATTCTTTATTTGGTTGTATAACATGTGTTTCTATTTTTGTTGGTCAATAGACCAGAACAAGTTGGATGAACCTGAAGAGTGAGATGGATAGACAGTCTCCAGATCTGGACCCCAGGACCTCCACCCACAGCTTACCCACCGATATTTCTCAACCCAGTGAGTAGCCAATCAATGATTTTGTAGAATCCAAACTTTCTTAAAGGGGACATCGGATGCCCATTTTCCACAAGTTGGTATGATTCTTTAGGGTCTTTATGATATGCCTGCATTGCAACATACTTTGGTTAAAATTCCTCAGTAGTCGTATAAAACAACACCCTTTTTACCTTGTCAAAAACGGCTCTGTTCACAGCGACCCGTTTTGGTGCATGTCTCTTTGAATGATAATGAGCTACTGCTCACCCCACTTCTCTCTTACGTTTTTTTGTGTATTCGTTGGCGCGTTACCATCAAAAACAAAACTAATCCACTGCGTCCTCAGTGGCTCTAATGTTGGGAGAAAATGAAGACTCTTATGTTCACTTTTACATCCAACTAGAAAACACCTGCATTGCTTACGAGATGTTGTTGTCGCTACAGCTGCTCAAGCGCGGAGAGAATGGCAGACAGCGTACATCAGGCTGAGGGCGGAGATATGCTAATACAGGACAATCTGTCAGTGGTCGTGGGCGGGGCCTGAGCAATATGATGTCATACTGCTTAAAAAATTAAAAATGGCTTGATAATTGACACTGTTTAGGTTTTTTGGGGTTTTAAAAAAAGGAGTGAATGGGTATTTATCATTGTAGGGTGGTTGTGTCCACACACTGCTAAGACAAATTTATTGCAAACACCATGTAAAAGTGAACTTTGCATCCGCTGTCTCCTTTAAAGGGGTCATATGATGCTGCTAAAAATAACATTATTTTGTGTATTTGGTGTAATGAAATGTGTTTATACGGTTTAAGGTTAAAAAAACACATTATTTTCCACATACTGTACATTATTGTTTCTCTATGCCCCGCCTTTTTGAAACGCGTCGATTTTTACAAAGCTCATCGGTCTGAAAGCCGATCCGGCGATCGACAGCGCGAAGTTGAAGTATTTCCTCAGCGACCAGCACGGATCAGCTCGAGGCATAACGAAGCAGATATTGTCCTCTTGTGGAAGACCAAACAAAGTAGTTTCGATTTCACAACAAAACACACAGCGCCTTCACGACATGGCAGCGGCAACAACAATACTACAGCGAGAATAAAAGTTACGCCTTCTTTCTTTGCGTGAACGTTTGGGCGGCGTTATGCAACGCATCTTCCCAGATAGTGACGTAGATATGTGGGGGTGTGTTAGAACGAGCCGTTTTAGGTAGGTGTGGCTGACTCTTAACTTTTATAAAGAATATCTCTTTGGATTTGAGACTTTAGTCTTTGCAACTTTACAGATCTTCTTTATGCACCAAGAGCTTGTAACACTCCAAAGAGAAAGGAAAACCTGAAATCGCATCATATGACCCCTTTAAATCAGCAATGAAATCTGACAACAATATAATTTATCATTTTTGTTTAAAACTTCAATTGTGACTAAAAACTGTATTTTTCTGACTGGTCAAGTAAATTTGAATGCCCTTTGTAGAGTAAATGGAAAAATGATTTGAACTAAAAGGCAGGGCTTTCTTTTCTTACAGCTGCCATATTGAGTGGTACAATTTCTTCTGTTAATTTTTCTATGAATGTTTCATATCCTCCACCTTAAACTGTCTCTGCCTCTTTTCCCCTTGAACATGACACTAGAGTAAAGTGCCATAAATCTTTCTAAATTCTCTGTTTTACAGACTTTCCATACAATAAGTCTGCTTCGCTGCCAGGATATGGGCGGAATGGCATATACAAGGTAAACTTTGTGAGACCTGATATCTGTGCACAAACACAGCACCCCACAACCTTTTGACATGCCATCTGTGTGTGATTTTTGAGAATATATGTGAGCTGTGGTCACAAGTGCTGTCATTCACTCTCTCAGCAGTGAAGAATGTTGTTTGATCCGAGTTGTATTTGTCAAACCCAGCTGCTGGGACACCGAGGGCTGTTGTAATCGCACACATCACGACACACAGTCACAGATCAGTTAATGTAGACATTTAGCCGAGGAAGCCATAATGCTCAGAGGGTGTGTCTGTGTTTGCGTGCTGTTAGAAGTGTCTTGTTCTGGCTGTTTTCCATGTTCTGTTTTGATCTTGAAATCTGCCTCCCTTAATGGACTATCCTCTGTAATGAAGAGCAAGATGTGCTTCCACAGCGGAAAACCCAAGCACACTCTTCATTAAAAATCTGATTTAGATCTTTTATCTCACATACAGTGTTGCCAGTGTCTTCTTTGTTTGAGAATGGTATGAAACCTTCTCCTGTACACTAGGTGGCAGTATTTTGCAACGGTTCTTTGTATCCCAGGACAATAAACTACTTGAAAACAGAAATATTACCCATTCTTTATATCTAATCTGGTCTGACTTAGTGTCATGTTTCGCCCTTTACTTTCCACAAGCGTTCACAAAGGTATGTGAAACAGAGAGCTGGTCATAGATCAATATTTATAGCAAAATCCACCGGCAAGCTCCAGCCCTAAGGATTCAAGTCTCTGTCTGCGTTAGACTTTAACCTTTAACCTCAGGAAATGAAAGAAAAACTTTCACAGTTACAGCAGCTTCTCTGTTCAAACATGATATTGTTACTCTCATTTGATAGTAGCAAAAATAAATAATGAAGGCATGGTGAAACTTTTTCAAGAAGCTTTTAATGTGCCGGCCTTAAAACCAGACACTGAAATCAGTTCCTTTGGGACATAAATGTGCCTGTACTAGTTGAAAAAACAACCATCTACTGTTTTGATATTGCCATGCATTCTGCATGTGAATAAATATGCACCATATATAATTGTGAATATGCCAAATCTTGTCATGCATTGCTTCTTACTAGGCGGCTGATCTTGGCGAGGATGAGGGCGATCATGACTCATCCTGGAGTGGAATGAGAGGTGAGTGAGTAGTATATAACTTACATAGACAACAGATGAGTTGCATTTTTACCATACAAAATTAATGGTTGTAATTTGTCTTTCTCTTTCTCCTTTTTTCAACATCTTTCCGGTTTTCCATGGTTTCTCAGAGTACAAGGTGAGTTCTGGTGTGTATAGTGGATTGCTGTAGAATGGAAATGAAAATAACAAAATGCAACTAAATACAGCATTAAATACAGGTTCACTTGCAGTGGTGGGTTTTGTGTGGTAAATTATTGGTTGCGAGATGCTTTTGATGGTTTCACTAGACATTTAGATACAAAATTGTTCATTTTCCATTCATCCTGTATATGTGTCATTTCAATAATTCTGAATATTGTTGGGTTCATATAGTTTAATATCAAATTTGAATGCTTGAATGCATTTTTCTAATTTATAATTTTTTAATTTATGCATTTAGCAGACACTTTTATCCAAAGCGACTTAAAATGCATTCAGGCTATACATTTTTTACCAGTATGTGTGTTCCCTGGGAATCGAACCCACGACCTTTTGCGCTGCTAACACACTGCTCTACCACTGAGCCACAGGAACATTATTCTACAATAAATAATTCTGATACTGGGTTGGCACCTGTACAAACCGGGTCCTCAAACAAAAACCAGTATGAGAACCAGTAGTTGATCATAGATTCATGAACAGATATACTACAAAACTAAATACATGATCTGTACAGAGATGTATGTATATACAGTACACTACCATTCAAGAATTTGGGGTGAGAAAGATTTTTTATTGTTTTTGAAATACAGTAAAAACAGCAACAACTGTTTCACTTGATCGTTATCTTCTAATATGCTGATTTGGTGCTCAAGAGTTCAAAAGAACAGCATTAATTTGAAATGAATATATTTTGTAACAAATGTCTTAATTTTATATGATGTCTTACAGTATGTGTGCATCTGTGTAATTGTGTGTCTTTCACATCCATGTATTTTGCAGGTCTACCCCTATGACATGCTTGCTGTGACCCACAGAGTCAGAGTAAAACTACCACGGGATGTCGACCGCACCAGACTGGAGGTAATATTTTATTAGACATTTACTCAGTGGTTTTGTTTAGTGCGATTACTGTGCATTTTTAATTGATTGCACTTTGGAGCATCCCAAGTTATGATTGAGCGATACTTTTATAATGATTGATTTTTAAATACAGCTGTGTCATCCTTTTTAATATGGAGCATGGGTTGACTTATTGCCGTTTAATTATTATTTTGTCAGTATCAGTCTGGATCAAAGTATGCAAGAAGGCAGCCAGGCAAAGAGTTGTGTATGTTTGTGTGTATGCCTGACTGCACTTCTGCCAATGTGAGTGTTTGTGAGGTTATGGCTTTGTTGGGCCACAGTCCACTTGCCCATGGCCAACACATAATATATCCTCAGTGTTCCTGGACATTGTGTCAGTGTTATTAGTGGGTTTAAGTGGAAAAGGGAAGAGAAATGTCTGGAGTTACGAGAGATGTTGATTTACAAATCCCACTCCCTAACTGTTAGCTTGGAATCACTGTGGTTAAAATTGTAATATCTGAAAAAATGTGTGTGTGTGTGTGTGTGTGTGTGTGTGTGTGTTTTGCATGAGTGTGTTTGTCATCGTATGACTGGTGTCCTGATATAAGAGGCCCTTGTCACATCTGCTTGAATTGAGCATGATTTGAGTCAGTTGCAACACCCAAAACTTTCCAAAGACTGTGATTTCAGCATCTATTTGGAGATGTTCAAGATACCCACACATCTGCAAGTGTTGCAGTACCACATACGACAGAGCCTGAAAGAATAAAGATTTACACAAATCCATTCTGCAATGGTTTAAAACAAAATTTAGGTCATAGGCTTAAAAGCCTGGCAACTTTTACAGCACCCCATTGGTGCTCGTAATCCTGATTATGCTAAAGGCAATGAATGTCCTCAACCATTGCAAAGCGTTAGGTGACACATGCATATAGATGGCTGTAATTATTGTCAATATTGTGTTCTTTTTTCGCTCTGTCTTTAATCTGTAATGACATTTGGGCCATGCAGATATCATTAGCAGAATAAACAGTGCTTATAGATTCCTGGCAGAGGTCCTTTGAGTTTGTTCTGATTAAGCTTTGATTAGTTGTTGTTATTTTGGGCCTTTATAGATGGATGACTATATCATGGAGCTATTCTGCATGCTTTAAAGTGATAGTTCACCCAAAAATGAAAATTCTGTCATCATTTATTCTCCCTCGTGTCTTTTAAAGCCCATATAACATTGTTCTGTGAAACACGAAAGGAGTTATCAGAATGTCCAAGCTGTTCTGTTCCATACACAGAAAGTGGATTTTAATAGCTTTTGAAGATTTTCTAATGAATAACCATTTCATTTTTTGGTCTGTTCGTCACACAAAGGGCTGTACGATTTGGGGAAAAAAATCGAATTGCAATTTGTTTGATTAAAAAAATGCAATTGATATTTAAAATGTGATTAATAATAAAATAAAAAAAGCTTCAGGTTTGCTGCATGTGCTTGTTTGTAGGGCTGCACAATTTAGTCATAAATGTTGCGATTATCAATATAAAAAAAAATCTATAAATAATAATAATACTAAGAATTATTTTTTACTACATAAAAATATAAAACAAATCAGCAAATATTGCTATTGTAATATTTCACTGTAAAATGTGTTTCAAAATAATTTTATTTTACGGTACAACTGTAAAATTGTGCTCTTTTTATGCTGTCCTTGACAGCCTGTTCACCATTAATTTTGATTGTGGTAAAGTGAAGTTTGAACATTCTCTTCAAAATATCTTCTTTTGTGTTCCACTGAAGAATGAAGGTACAGAACTGTAATTTTTCAACTGAACCTATCTCCTAAATTTGCCAGTTATCAAAATTAATCTGTGAAGTTTTAAAATTCTAATAATTATATTTGTTGTAATTCTTATCATTTCAGAGGCACCTGTCACCTGAGGACTTCTACAACGTGTTTGGGATGACCATTGAACAGTTTGACCGTTTGGCCTTGTGGAAGAAAAATGACCTTAAGAAGAAAGCCCGCTTGTTTTAAGTTACGCTGAATCGCTTGAAGGAAAGCAAAGATAAAGAGAAAACCTCTTCTCATCCGTCCTGTGTGCATGGAGGAATGAGTGTGAGAGAAATATATATGCACCACCGTTCTGCTGCATAGCTACTGTCATCCCATCTCACGCTGAGGAAGAGGGAGCGCTTTCACAACGCTGTTTGCCACCTAGCTCCGTTCATGAACGCCACACCACATGGTCTGAATGTTACTCTGATGATGGGGAGTCAGAGCTGAATTCTTTACTGCTCTCCTTGTTTTTCTCTTTGATTGTCTTTGATCTTGCTCCCCCGGCTGTCTTTGTGATTACTGCGTTGTATTCTCTCTTTGTGGAAAAAAACACTCAATATTGATATAAGCCACTTTCTTTACATTTTATACCGTTGATAAACATGGCCAGCCAGCTCTACTTGTAAGTCTTTTTGTTATGTAATAATATCAATCTTCCCCTCTCCCCTTGTCTTTATTTTTGACTGAAATGAATGTTGTCCAACGTTTACGTCTTGTCCTCGTCTACTCATATTGTTTGCTCAGTGTCTTTCTCTCGCTTTTTTCTCAGTCTCTTGCTGCCTGTTCCTCTTCTTACCTCCTAGACATGATACTCAGCTGCTGCTTGGACTGTAATATCTATTATGTAATATCAGCTTTATGGAATCTCATCCATCCATGGCTTCAGCATGACCGGGCCAAAGACTCAATCGGAGCAAGAAGTCAACAAAGCACCTTACACACGACCTAACCAGACGCGACGCAATAAAACAAGAAAAAACCTCTTCCATATCATTTTTTGTCCTAACCAGCCTCGATTGTGAGAAGCAAAGAGCAACTGGACACTTTCTCAGTTGCTTGGTTTCTATTTCCACGACATCATGCTGGGTAGCCCCGCCCACTGTGAAATCTCATTGGTTCTTCAGAACTGTGCATTAAACATCAAATATCTTCTCATTGGCTGTGATTTTGTCACATTACTCATCAGTTTTCGAACTTGGCGTATCGCACCTGGTTAGGACACAGTGTTAGTGGATATGTTTAATAATCTTTACTGTTGCTGAATGACTGTGAGTGCAGACAGCTGGAAAAATGCAGAGCTTTTGTGTTATATTATGTATTTGTTTGCTTTTCCAGGTCAGTGTGCAATTCATCAGATGTCATGATATCACAGTTATTCAATAAGACATTTAGAGTTGTTCTAAACTGATATCTGGACTTCACATACAGTACTCTCGCCATATATATTGTGCACAGAACATAATATGGTCGTAAACTTTATCAAGCGCATCAGCCAGACATTCTCATTGTTTTAATCCACACAAATGAAAGTGCTCATGGCAGAGTAGACCCTTATTTTTGTATGCAATTCTTTTTTCATACAGATGTTTGCAGATACTTTACTTTCCATTTGCAAATAATTGCAACATTCACTTTAGCATGGAGCCATGCCAAAGTTAACATTCTGTAGCAATTAGCTAAACTAATACAACACAACACTTGATAAAGCATGCAGTTCAGTGGCGCTTTATTTAAAACCCAAATATGATTGTTTTTTTTTGTTGTTTTTTGATTGTTAATAAATGTGTGTGCAGTATATTGATATAAATGTCCACTTATCATGTCACCCTGTAGACATGCACTGCATTTACTAGAAGCATCATGTAATGGCTTCATATCAGACTTTTATGAGTAATCATGACGTGTTGTTTGATTTGAGATCTTAAAGTTATTGAGAGTTTGTTTTGTTTCTTCAGACACATTCTTAAGTTGTACCATGTCTATTCTAGATATATTAACTTGGTTCTTTTTCTTATGCCAATGACTCAAATTTGCAAAAAAGAAGAAAGAACGGTATTTTGTCCTTTAATTTTATGAATACATTACATGAAGATGTCAGAAATCTGGAACTGTTAGAAACACCACCACATTTAGTAAACTAAGTTTTGAGTCTGCCTAATGATAACCATGTGTAACCATGTGTAACGTGCCTATATCTTGTACCATATCAAGGCAACAATGGATTTTTTTTTAAACTGCTCAGCAGGGAAACTCTGATTGTTTTGCTTTGTTGATTGTGAAAGTATGGCGTTTCTAACCAAATATGTGTGCATATCTCATTCATCAGGGTCATAATGTAACCTTCACCTGTCATGCCAAAATCTGTTGTTTTGGGGAAAATACAGTACAGTAAAACTAGTCTGAAACACATGAACGTGTTTTGGTCTGAGTGCGTATAGGTGGGAGCCTTTCCAGAAAACCATGTTGAGCTGCGGAGGACGAATGTGTTAGTCTTATTTGAACAGCTGTAGAAACATGCACGTGTGTGGGTGTGAGTGGTGTTAGCCTCCAGTTCAGCAGTCCAATAGTTCAGACTAGGTGAGTTCAGAATAGTGTGTGTTCGATCATCTTTATTCTTTAACAAAACACTGTTAACCTTTAAAAAACAGACCCAAGTGGAGACTAAACAAGGAGGTCATATCTGCAACTGCATTGGTTCAATGTATGTGTTTTCTAAAAAATATGGTTTGCTTTTGGAAATAATTTCTAAATCTTTGTGTGTGTGTGAAGTCTCTTTGTCTGGATGAAAGCAGATGTAGGACTGTGACCCAAGAGAACTCTAACCCAACAGTTTTGAGAGCTGCTTTCCTACTTTTGCTACTATTACATATGAGGCGAGTTTGTGCCTGGTTCTGACTGCATTCACACAAGTGTTTTATTTTATACCTAGAAAGTTTGAGAGACCTTATGAAGTTGTCTCTGAGGTAACACAACATATTGGGGTTTCCATGGTGGTTACATGTGGTTTTGTGCTAGTATGCAAACTATTGTGAATAACTGTGATTGTGACGTTATTCTGACTGCAAAGTAATGAGTTTGGGAAATGTAAATGCACCCATTTCATTCACTGTGTCTTTGAGTTGCTTTGCAATAAATATTGCTATTCATCTCAATAAATAGGCCTACAGCTACTTCAACTCAAGTGTTTTTCTGTAAAGAAAGTTTCTGAAACAGACGGATAGATGGATATCAATCTAAATAAAGTTACTTCAATTTTTCAGTTCAGCTTTTCTTCTTTTAAGATTCTGAATCAGACTGATTGATAGATAGATAGATGTTTTACATTTTATTTGCTTTTTGAAAGTGTCTCCTATGTTTATCATATAAACAAACCAAGTTGCAACACTCCTCGATCTAAATGTGACCGCCTCCCAGTTCTGCTATTGGGTGGATTTTTAGTAGCGCGCTGCCGGATTGGCTCACACGGTTGTCAATCTCGGGCTGATTTGACAGCGCGAGCGGTCCTAGGAGCGCAGATATGAATCTGAAGAAGCTCACGGGCCAGCCAGAGGAACAGCAGAGGTGGCCGTTATCAAGCACACGGGATACAGGGCAGGTCCATTATCTTGCGATTAAGTTATGACGGAAAATAACAGAGAAGGTAAGATGTCACTGTTAAAATTATTAGACAGTTGTCTCTATTGATCCGTAGTGAAAGTCTTGACCATCCATGAAATGTCCTAATTTGTCGATTTCAACACACACTATTGAGGTTTCATAAGGACAAGCGCTGCTCAGAGGACATTTCAGTTCTCCCTTGAAAATGTGAGTGTGATGGGCTTGCTTTCCAATGTTTATTTCTTTCCAAATGCTAATAATATAAAACGGCTCTTAAGTTGTCATGCTACATTCATATTTGTAATTTTTTTGGAGCTGTCATCAAACCTTTTTTGTTTTGGAGCTGAGGCTGAGCACAAAGAAGCACGAGGCATCCTGATGAATGTGCACCGCTCGTGGGGGGCTCTTGTTGAATAGCACGAGCCTGGTGGGATCAGCTGCCGTCTCGAGCCCCAGTCTCTATATGCAGAGAGGGGAGGGGCTGAGGGGTGAAAAGCTAAATTATGAAGAACAAATCCAATTAATTTGATACAATGCAGCGGGATGACTCTTAAACCACTGGGAAAGGGAAGCTCGATTATGTTTTTGTAGTTTATGTAAGGATGAAACATAGTTGCCACTGACAACATCATAATTGCATCCCTATGTCTAAGATTTTAGTGTTATGTTTACCCTAGCTGACCCTAATTTTTTTGTTTTTTTTTTGCAGCTTTGTTACTGTTGTTCTCAGGTGTTTTGCAAGTTCAGGTGATGTTTATTTAGAGAGACTATTTATATAAAGAGTTTGGGACCATGTGAAGGTGTTTCCATCTCCAGTTTAGTTTTCCTCCAGGAATAACTGACAATGGAGCGGACAAGAACCGTCATCCTGGGTATTGTTTGCTTTACTGACTCTGGCTCTGAGATGAGAGAAAACAGAACAAAGAGTAAAAAGCCACCAAAGTGGTCGTGTCTCATATCTCATTGTCCAGACTGTCTCAAAATAATCAGACCAGGTAAAGAAAATAAGAAAGAATCGAGTGGAACAGGTTGGGTTTGGCCAAATGCAGTCCTTGGACTCCTTGGCTAGAAATACGATCATTTGGAAAAACAAAGATAGGCATGTGGACAAAGCTCGGCATCTTTGATCAATAGCCAGTGTAGAGTTTAGATGGGTGTGACCAAGCGCTTTGAGGGATGTTAGTCAAGGACCATCTGGTAAAATGGGCGATGGAGCCTAACTTGACCTGTTCTTATGCTTTTGGCTGAACTTTCACCACAATTTGTATCATTCAAACAGGAGGTTCAATTCAGGATGTTTTGCTTCCTATTCAGAGTAGAAACAAAATACCTTTTCCTTATTGAGTCCCACCCTTTCAAAATAATATTTCCTTTGATTCTTAAGTAAATGCTGATTTTACTGGCAGTTTCATATCGATCTGGCAGAGAATGAACACCTTTGTAAACCATGAACCGTTAAACACCTTTTTTTTCAGAAGTAGGTTCATTTTATTCCATTTAAGGTGAAAAAGCATGTGAGTTGCACCCTTATTATAGCAGCATAGCATGTATGAGCTTGTTCATTTACACTTTATTTCAAAAAAATTTGTAACCACACAAAGCGAGTTCATCCAAGGGCTAAATGCCAGTATAGCTGAGTGTTGCATGGTGGGAGTTTGATATTTTTCCTGATAGCTTGATGACTGGTCTGTCTGGTCTTGCTGATGCAGTGACATCATTACTAGTGCACATCTGGACCTGCATTATTGCAGCATCTGTTTGAGAAAGAGAAAATCCACTGGTGAAGATGGATGACTGGTCTTGCTTAATTTGCTGGAGAAAAAAGCAGTCGTACAGATATTTAGTGGACGTTTATTATCTTCTAATCACTGCTTTGAATGATGGGGAAAATGTCGAGATAATGTACAGTTTTCTCTTTTATAGTAGCCTGACTTCTACAAGGCTGTTTTTCCTCTCTTGTGGTTCTAGTCTAGCAGTCTGTTCCTTAAGATAGTTTTCACAGACAAGTCTCTAGTGGGTTTATATTAGTCTGTCTTAGGATGCAGTACGTAGTTTAATTGTGTGAGTGTGTGTCACATACAGCCATGAACAGCTGCTGAAATGTGTCTGTCTTACTCAATACCAAACCACTTCCTGACCTCTGACACTGATTCCAATGGAAAGTTGTGTTTTGTTATGAAAAGACTGGAAATGTATAGACACTTGAAATGTTTAATTTTATTGATGCAATAAAAAGATAAGGAAATGTAATATGCATCATTACATTTGTGCAATAAGCACACTTCATGGCAAAAGCCTCAAAACCATGACCTTGAAGTTGCAAGCGCTATGCACATTGCACAACCAGCTGGGCTCCCGTCTTTGTCTTTTTTCAGTTTTGTTTATGTGAGCTGAAAAGCCCTTTGAGAACACATAAAGAACAGTGACTCTGTCTTAACGATCCCATGAGATCAAAATATGTTTTCTGACTTTTCTGTGTTACTTTCAAGCCATCTATCCACCTTATTTTTAATGTAAGAGTGGGCATGGTAATTTTTAACTTGAATGCCGCTTCCAGTTATTTTAGCTGTACAAAAAGCCGTCTGTTATGAAAGCACACAACTTATTTTTTTCATGAAAGCTATGAAAGCATGCAACATCTTTCAGTTGTAAATATCAAACATGTCTAAGGTTTACGATTTGGGATTGGGGAGGGTTTAAATGTGTGGCCAGCCTTATTTACCTAAAGTGGCTAATGAATCTGAAGTCTCACACATTCACAAGAAAATAGCTTGTTCTTATAAAGGTTGACAAAATTCACTTTTAGCAGATATACACATTTGAATGTGCTATATGTAATTTTTGACTGTACTAAAGCATAAAAATATTATATTTTTGCAGATATTTAAGAAACGTGCTAAATTCACAGAATTGTTTCTCCGAAAAACAATGCTACAGCCAGTTATTCTACTGCGTTCTGTGTCGGAATGTCTGTTTTTGTTTTGGTCTGTGTGATTCCATCCACTGCCAATTTACCCAATAGTATTTCGACACCCCGGGTTGCCAGAATGTGTAAAACATGTATTGCAGCAATGGAAGCCAGCAAAGAAACTGGGTCAGAGATCGCAGATTCTACCCGACCCAAAAAGCCTCGGCATCCATCTAAAAAGCTTTATAATGACCAGAGGTATATTAAAACGTGGATTCATCAACACATCAACTTAGAGTATAAGACTTGTCGCCTTTCATTGTAAATTACGCTTGTTCCTGTTGTGTGTCCTCAATCTAGCAACTTTTGCGAGCATTGAGTCTAAAGAGGAGGGGGTGGAACAAACAACTCTATCCAGTATTTTGAATTTGGACTGCAGTGCCCATTTCAACCACTAGCTGTCAATATTACATACTGCACCTTTAAAACTTACATATTTTCTCTTCTGGGATGACTAATTTTTCACTACCCAAACTTTTGTCCAAACAAATTCTCAAATGCAGTATGAAGTGTATTAACAATGATTAAAATGATAGCGTACATGAATTTATAGGTTGTACAAGTTAGATGAAAAAATATTGTTTTAGTATTATAAATAAATGTGTGCACAAGTTCAGAAGTAACACTGTATATTTACACAAACAGCTGTGCGAGACGTCTCTC